GATAGATAGATAGATAGATAGATAGATAGATAGATAGATAGATAGATAGATAGATAGATAGATAGATAGGCTCAACTTTTAATATAGGTATTGCATCTTTAATACGAGGAGGCTGGGGAGGAACATGGGCCAGTCCTGGAGTCTGGGGAAGGCTCGGAGGAGGGCTCTGTGTCGGAGGCAGAGAGGGGGCCAGAGCCATATGCCAGTTATCAGCTGCCTTTGGAGTCAGACATCAGTGAGGCAGAAGAACAGTTGGAGCCTGTTCCTAGTGTGCGCATGCACAGAGTTGCCAGGCGAAGGGAACAGCTAAAGGACAGGGGTCGACTTGGGACTAAGACCACAGGTGGAGGATGAATGGCCCCTCCCAGAGGAAATAAAAGAGGAGTGAAAGGGGAGTGGAGTTTGCAGGAGATCATTAGTTTGTTTAGTTGGTTCGTGACTCTCTGAGACACTTTGCCAAGTTTTGCAGATGTTGGCCTGGCAGCTCTCCAAGCCAGATAAGATCTGTGATTGTAAATCCTCCCTTGAAAGACTTTGCTGGATGGGAATGAGGGGACAAGGAGTTTGCTTTGTGCTCTTGGGAAGCACGAAACAGAACAAAGATCTGCTGCCATCTCCAACCTTACATGCCCGAACAAATACCACTTAAGCTTTTGCCACCTTCTACAAGTCTGATTTGTTCATCGCTTCTCACTCATATACACAATACTCCTAACTAATCCATCAACTCATCCTACCTACCCAATTCGTATCACCTAACTAGCACTATCCAACTCTTAAGATGCAAGAGACGCACACTCTTTTCACTCACCCTCCTACCTGCCTCTCCCCCCCCCCTCTCTGACTGTAGAGAGGGAAACCACCTTTTTGCCAAATTGGCTGTCGTCCAGGGAATGCAACGTTACGGTCTAAATCACTTTGATAAAATCTGCTTCCCAGTTAGTAGTTTTTCTGGTTTAGCTTCATGTTGGTTTCTAAGGCCACAGCAACACGTCGTCTTTTCTGGCCTCTTCTCCCTCTCAGGTTTCACCAGTACAGGTAGGCCTCGACTTATGACAATTCAGCCCCAAATTTTTGCATCTGAATTTTGATCACCTGACCGCGGGAATGAACATAAGTGTGGAAAAACAACCCCAAACTCCATTTTTTCAGCGCTGGTGTAACTTCAAACAGTCTCCAAATGAACCGTTGTGAGCCAGGGGTTATCTGCAACAAGCTAAAATCATGGATTTTCTGGGGAAGCCAGTAGGGAACACTTGCAAACAGGGATCACTTGCGGTCATAAATGCAAATGGGTTGCCACGTGGCCCTTATCGCCATCGTGCAGTTGCAGAGGGCATTGCAAATGGCATAACTCTGGGAGCAAGTCATAGCTCCTTTCATTCAGCACAGTCGTAGGTTACGAAGGTCGCCGAAGCAATGATGGTAAAGTCAAGGACTACCTGTGCATGGTGCACCTGAAATGCATACAATTAGAGCATGCTAGGAAGTCAAAAGTGGCTCAATGGCCAAGACGCTGAGCTTGTCAATCGGAAAGATCGGCTGTTCGGCGGTTCGAATCCCAAGCGCCGTGTAATTACTTGTCCCAGCTTCTGCCAACTAACAGTTCAAAAGCATGTAAAAATGCAAGTAGAAAAATAGGAGCCACCTTTGGTGGGAAGGTAACAGCATTCTGTGCGCCTTCGGCATTTAGTCATGCCGGCCACATGACCACAGAGACGTCTTCGGACAGCGCTGGGTCTCCGGCTTTGAAACGGAGATGAGCA